GGGGGGTGCGGCTGTTTTTGTTTTTACTGATGGGGGGTGGGGGTGCGGCTTATAGTCCGGTGCAGCTTATAGTCCGAAAAATACGGTAATTGAATATGGCCCCCACAAGAAGTTTGAGCTCAACTCTGCTGCACTTCTCAGTTTCAACACTAGATGGAGCCAGCCACAGAAACGAAATTAAAGAGAAGAAAAGAGAAGAAGAACCTTTTTGTGACTGCGACACTGCGTTCAGTTTGAGTCTCCAGAAACGGCGGTGCCGAAGAAACAAAAAATAGCAAGTGAGTTTTTTTCAAAGAAATCAACAGAAAGTATGTTTGATTTGCAATGAAGATGTTGCTGTGATGAAAGAATATAATGTCCGTCGGCATTATGAGACCAAACATCAGAGCTACACCTCGTACACTGGTGCCGAACGAACACAGAACGTCAAGCAAATGGCAGCTAGCCTTAAGCTCAACAGCAGTTTTTTTTTCTCGTGCTAATAAAATACAGGAAAATGCCACAACAGCAAGTTATGAAGTTGCCAAACTTATTGCTCAGCACGGTAAACTGTTTTCAGGCGGTGATTTCATAAAGCAGTGTCTCATCAGTCACAGAAATAATGGGCCCAGAAAAAGTGCCTGATTTCAACAATGTGAGCTTACCCAGAAAGGTGGTGCGGAGAATTGAGGACTTGTCAGCTAACTTGTAACTTCAGCTGGGAGACAAAGCTTGTGCTTTTGATTTTTACTTTTTATTTTAATGACAGGAAAATATATTTTTGAAGCTGTGTCAGAGGCAGTTGAAAAGATGGGGCTTAAATGGGACAAGCTCTGTGGAGTAACAACGGATGGAGCTCCGGCCATGATGGGCGAGCGCAAAGGAATGGCAAAGGTAAAAGAGAGTGAAGGTGAGGCTGTTAGCCACCAAACTTTCTCGAAACATGTCAGCCATCCTTCAATCCAAAGGGCAGCAACACTGCTCCCACTGAGTGCAATGTTCTTCACATAGGTGAGTTAGAAATACACACATTATTTTGTGTGTATCAATATGTCACTTCTAGTGTTTGGCCCGGCCCTTTGTTTATTTTTCTGTATTTGGCCCTCACTAAAAAAAGTTTGGACACCCCTGCCATTGAGCGAGACTACAGATAAAGACTACAGATTATATTTATTGATAAAAAATAAGCATCTACAATACTCTGATCAATATAAGCATGTCTACACTGGTTTATAACGTTATTTACATCAAAAATGGAATAACAATACCCATTTTAAAGCTTTCTGGTGTTAGCATGCTAGCATAAATGCTATACCTATGTTTAACATGCAGCTAAGAGCTCTGCTTCAACTTACCTTCAGATCTACAGCCTACAACAAAATAACGTTTACATTTACGATTTATTGTTCCAAACAACTCATGCAGCAGATATCAGTCTGTTATCTCCACCTGCTGTCAGACAGAATGAGCTGAGTGGCACAGTTCAAATAAATTAATTATATTAATCAAGTTTTAAAAGACATGCATGAAAAAAACTGTAGCTTCAGATTCTGACTGAAGCAATTCTATATTTTATTTTTGGTTTTAACATTAACCATTAGCCAGATTAGCCAGACAACTATAAAATAGTAATTCATTAATTAAAATGTTTATTTTAATAAAATTATTTTAAGTTAAGATTATATTACATCACAAAATTAGAGTCTCAATTGTGAAAAACCAAACATTGTGTTATAAAATATTGTGTAAAATTACATTATAAATGTTTGAGATATTTGCAGTAAATACATAGTTGTGATATTTGCAGTAAATACATAGTTGCGATATTTGCAGTAAATACATGGCTGTGATATTTGCAGTAAATACATGGCTGTGATATTTGCAGTAAATACATGGTTGTGATATTTGCAGTAAATACATGATTGTGGTATTTGCAGTGAATACATGGCTGTGATATTTGCAGTGAATACATAGTTGTGATATTTGCAGTGAATACATAGTTGTGATATTTGCAGTGAATACATGGTTGTGATATTTGCAGTGAATACATGATTGTGATATTTACAGTGAATACATGGTTGTGATATTTGCAGTAAATACATGGCTGTGAACTCGAGTGGTGTTTTGTTGTTGGAGTTCTGTGCTCGTCACGGATTGTCCATCACGAACACCATGTTCAGGCATAAAGGTGTCCATATGTGCACTTGGAACCAGGACACACTAGGCTGCAGTTCGATGATCAATTTTGTCGTTGTTTCATCGGATCTGCGGCCGCATGTCTTGGACACTCGGGTGAAGAGAGGTGCGGAGCTGTCCACTGACCACTACCTGGTGGTGAGTTGGCTCCAGTGGTGGGGGAGGAAGCAGGTCAGACCTGGCAGGCCGAAACATGTAGTGAGGGTTTGCTGGGAACGTCTGGCGGAGTCCCCTGTGAGACGGAGCTTCAACTCCCATCTCCGGCAGAACTTCGAACGCGTTCTAGGAGAGGTGGGGGACATTGAGTCTGAATGGACCATGTTCCGTACCTCCATTGCCGAGGCGGCTGATCGGAGCTGCGGCCGCAAGGTTGTTGGTGCCTGTTGCGGCGGCAACCCTCGAACCAGTTGGTGGGCACCTTCGGTGAGGGATGCTGTCAAGCTGAAGAAGGAGCCCTATTGGGCCTTTTTGGCCTACGGGACTCCGGAAACGGCTGATGGGTACCGGCGGGCGAAGCGGCATGTGGCTCGGGTGGTCATTGAGGCAAAAACCCGGGCGTGGGAGGAGTTTGGAGAGGCCATGGAGAAAGACTTCCGCACGGCTTCGAGGCAATTCTGGTCCACCATCCGGCGTCTCAGGAGGGGGAAGCAGTGCAGCACCAACACTGTTTATAGTGGGGATGGTGTGCTGCTGACCGCAACTCAGGACGTTGTGGGCCGGTGGGCGGAATACTTCGAAGACCTCCTCAATCCCACCAACATGCCTTCTGTTAAGGAAGCTGAGCCTGYGGACTTTGGGTTGGGCTCTCCAATCTCTGGGGGCGAGGTCGCCAAGGTGGTTAAAAAGCTCCTCGGTGGCAGGGCCCCGGGGGTGGATGAGATCCGCCCGGAGTTCCTTAAGGCTCTGGATGTTGTAGGATTGTGTTGGCTCACGCGACTCTGCATGGACATCGGGGGCAGTCCCCCTGGATTGGCAGACCGGGGTGGTGGTCCCCCTGTTTAAAAAGGGGGAKCGGAGGGTGTGCTCCAATTACAGGGGGGTCACACTATTAAGCCTCCCTGGTAAGGTCTATTCGGGGGTCCTGGAGAGGAGGGTCCGTCGGATAGTCGAACCTCGGATTCAGGAAGAGCAGTGCGGTTTTCGTCCTGGGCGTGGAACTCTGGACCAGCTCTACACCCTCAGCAGGGTCCTGGAGGGTGCATGGGAGTTCGCCCAACCHGTCTACATGTGTTTTGTGGACTTGGAGAAGGCGTTCGACCATGTCCCAAGGGGGGCCTTGMGGGGGGTTCTCCGGGAGTATGGGGTACCYGGCCCTTTYWTADGGGCTGTCAGGTCCTTGTACGACCGGTGTCAGAGTCTGGTRCGCATTGCKGGCAGTAAGTCGGGCTCYTTTCCGGTGAGAGTTGGACTCCGCCAAGGCTGCCCTTTGTCACCGATTCTGTTCATTACTTTTATGGACAGAATTTCTAGGCGCAGCCGAGGTGTTGAGGGGATCCGTTTTGGTGGCCTTACGATCGCATCTCTGCTTTTTGCGGGTGATGTGGTCCTGTTGGCTTCATCAGAACGTGATCTGCAACTCTTGCTGGAGCGGTTCGCGGCCGAGTGCGAAGCAGCTGGGATGAGGCTCAGTGCCTCCAAATCCGAGGCCATGGTCTTGAGCCGGAAAAGGGTAGAGTGCCTTCTATGGGTCAGGGGGGTCGTCCTGCCTCAAGTGGAGGAGTTTAAGTATCTGGGGATCTTGTTCACAAATGGGGGAAGAAGGGAGCGGGAGGTCGACAGGCGGATTGGCGCAGCYTCTGCTGTAAAGCGGGCGCTGTGCCGGTCCGTCATGATGAAGAGAGAGCTGAGTCAGAAAGCGAAGCTCTCGYTTTACCGGTCGATCTACGTTCCTACCCTCATCTATGGTCATGAGCTTTGGGTCATGACCGAAAGAACGAGGTACTGGATACAAGCGGCCGAAATGGGTTTCCTCCACGGAGTGGCTGGGCTCTCCCTTAGAGATAGGGTGAGAAGCTCGGTCATCCGGGAGGGACTCAGAGTAGAGCCGCTGCTCCTCCACGTTGAGAGGAGCCAGTTGAGGTGGCTCGGGCATCTGGTAAGGATGCCTCCTGGACGCCTCCCTGGTGAGGTGTTCCGGGCAAGTCCCACTGGGAGGAGGCCCCGAGGAAGACCCAGGACACGCTGGAGGGACTATGTCTCTTGGCTGGCCTGGGAACACCTTGGAGTTCCCCCGAAGGAGCTGGAAGAAGTGGCTGGGGAGAGGGAAGTCTGGGCCTCCCTTCTGAAGCTGCTGCCCCCACGACCCGACTCCGGATAGGCAGAAGAAAATGGATGGATGGATGGATGGATGGATGGATGGATGGATGGATGGACATGGCTGTGATATTTGCAGTAAATACATAGTTGTGATATTTCCAGTAAATACATAGTTGTGATATTTGCAGTAAATACATGGTTGTGATATTTGCAGTAAATACATAGTTGTGATATTTGCAGTAATACATGGCTGTGAGAAGAGTGCTGTGTTACCTGAGAAGGAGTGCTGGTGAGCTCTATCTTTTCCTGAGACCTCTCCTTTGCTAAGCGAGCCGCTTCCTTAAACTCAGCAAATTTATCTGCAAACTGAGACAAGTGCAGATGACTTGTTAATCCAGTTTGAGTTGCTACCTATTTTAAGTCATTTATATTTTCTCACCTTAACCAGGTGGCTCTCCGATGAGAATCCAAGGCCGTAGACGGTGTTGGCCCGACTGTCGGCCCACTGACCAAACTTCTGCGATGTCTTGGTGAACGTCATGTTTGGGGTGATGGTGCTGTTTATGATCGCCTGTTGAGGATAAAGCGATGATGTGAAGGGGTTTCTGAGCACATCAGTTTCAAAGATTTTGACTATTGTCTTTCTAAAATTTTGGAACCTTAATATTGAACATTTACCAAAAAAGGTATGAGACCAGCTTTACTCTGATTCTTGATTTCTGTTCAAAATATGTCATTAAACTTTGACTAAATCTTTAAATACCAATTGCCCTCAAGTATCCATTACTACCTGTCTGTATTCTAAGATGGAGAAGCAGAATAGGAGACGTCCTTTTTCCCAAATTCTGTGCAAACTGAGGGGGACACTGAAAGAAATAAAATCCTGGAAATGTAGACTGTGACTATACTCTCTTTGTGGCATCCTAAATATAGACAAGGAGGTCAAGGATGGATTTTTAAATGAAAGTGAACCAGTGTAGAAGTCTGTAGGTAGATAAAGATGGCTGGTTTACCACTGTGTATAGCATACAGAGGTGTGTGCGTGAGGTTTGTATTTTGTTATAATTTGCAGAGCTTCATGATAAGCAACCTATCCAACATGTGCAGAAAGCTGACCAAAAGATTCTTAGAAACAACACTATAGTCCAGCAGTGGTAGGAAAGTTGCAGACGAGATATTGTAGGAATTACTTCATGAAATTAGGACCAGCCTATTTTTCATAAATGTAATCCAGCAAGACCTTGCAAAAAATGAAATCAGAAATAATGAAATACCCCTCTGATCATGAATGAGAAAAGAACTTGTGATCTTGTCAGATTTCTCATCCATCCATCCATCCATCCATCCATAATCCGTAATTTATTTTAGATATATGACCA